GGTTGATAGAAGAATTGAAAGAAGAAAGGCAAATTAAGTAGACTGGGAAGGGATTTAAGATAAAGACAGCAAAATCATACAGAGGCTATTACTATAAGCCAAATTAAAATGAAATTTTTACATAAAAATTTTCTAATATTTTGAAATAAATTCATGTTTCATAGTATCAACTTTATGAAGAATAACATTTTAATAATATTTTATTAGAAGTGAAGGTGTTTTAGGGAAAGTTATTATACTATCTTAGTGCTGTCTAATTCTGAAAGATTTGAAAACAAACAAGTGATATATTTAAATTAACACAATAGAGAACAATACTTGTTTTCTATTAAAAATAATTATAAACACAGATTTCAACCAAAAATTGCTTGTAGTCCATATATTATTTAGAGAATGTTTAAATATCTGATAAATATAATCTAAAGAGAAAAATTATTTTTATTTTGTTACAGGTAATAAAATGTTCACATTAAGTACATCATTACCTAATTATTAATAATCTACAAGAATTACTGGCAAATTTTTATCCGTTATCATTTTTATTCATATCCCAAAAATGTTTACAGCTTGCATATATAATTGTCATTATCACCAACACATTGGTGCTGGTCATAGACAGTTTAACATATGTGGCTTTGAAGTAACTAAAACAGCTTTGATTAATGTCTCTATCTTCTATTCCCTAAAATAATAACTTATATATATATCAATATTGCATATGAATTGTGTATGCATGTTACTGGGATATTCTATATAGAGACAGCAATTATTTAATCTGGAAGACATGAACATCAGCCTATAGACATAAGAGATGTATTTTTATAAATAAGGATTCTATTTCATGGTGCATATGGTAATCATTAAACACTTTAAAATAAGTAAGAGTTGCGTAGTCAGAATAATTTGTTCTACGTGAATATTTCCCAAACTGTATGTTCCAAATCATGTTACCTTTAGTTCTGCTGTAACGTGACATATGTAGTCTAAAAATCAATGTGCTACACAAAATCATGCAACCACAATGACAACTAGGGCTTATGGGGAAAAATGGGGTTAGACACACAACGCTCAGAAACTTCATCAGTGACACATTAAAAAAAAGGACAGGAACCTAACAAAAACAATAGAACAGAATTACACATGCTTAATAGTTAAAACTACACAAACCAAAAACAAACAAACAAAAAAACCCAACCCTCAACAGTACAGCAAATACGGAATTTTACCTAGAAAAAGATGCAGTTTGCTTGAGGAAGTGAGTTTCAGGAGGGTTACAGCTTGTGAGGTAAGATGAAGTGATAGAGGAAGAAGGATCTGAAATCTCACAAGAAGTTGAAACACCAAATTGTTGTGTGTCGTGACACATGTTGTGGGCTGAGGTGGCTGGTAAATGTTTGATGTGTGTGTGTTTTTTGTCTCTTGTGTCTTGGATCAGCTGGGTGCGGTTTTCCACATTCACCTACGTAAAACTACATAAAACCAAACACAATATTTGCATTATGCTCAAAATATCCTCTAATATATCAATCAACTCTGGAACAAATTCGCATTTTCAAAACGATTGTTATAGAACTGAGTGTAACAGGTACTTGAAAGCTAAAAGTGGGGGAAGATAGGGTCTGTGTTCAGGAAATAAGTAGATTAAGCAATATTGAATTTTTTTCTAGTAAGAAATTTCAGAAAGTTTACCTGCTAATGTAAACTCTGCAACTTCAAGAAGGCAATGAGTTTGCAATGTTTTCCAAAATTCTTTGACCTTTTATCTGTGGTGGGAATAACATTAACATCTAAAAATAGTATTCTGTGTAGCACAGTTTGATAAATACTTCTCTTTAGTAATGTTTCATATTTATTATTATAAAATGTAAAACAAGGATTATGCTCAGAAGAGAAATATATTATGATCTAACTCAACTTTTTGTATACTCAGAAAAAAGAAATCTGATATAAAATTTTTTAAAATCCCATTAATGTGTCTAGCATTGCTGGTTGTATTTCTTCTGGCTTCTACAGAACTAAACTATACCAGACAATTAAAATTCCTCCTTGGAGATGACAAAATGGTATCTTTTCAGCATGATTAACCATATAATCAAGGTTTGAGAAAATCTACACCAAATAATTGAATTTGAGATTTTAAATGTATATGGTTTTCTGGGATTTCAGTGTGATCATAATGCCTGTATATTAAATCCTATTTTTGGTGAAAACCCAAAGGAAAGAGAGTTTTGTTTTCAAGTACTAATTTTACCTGTTATGTAATTATATATAATATGCCTATTAATAATTTTTACAACATAATGATGATTACGCATTCACAAATATAGGGAGAGAGCATTTCAAGCAGAGGGAATAGAGTAAACTCATGAGAAATTCTCTAGTGTGCATGCAATCTTGCGTGGAATTTTGATTGCAATAAAGTTTCCATGAAGGAGAATAGTGGGAAGTGAGTTTGGTCAGGAGAGAAAGAGGAGTCAGACACACCGGTAGAAGGTATTTTACAAGTGATTTCATGTAGGGATTTTTGAGAAAGATGAACAAGTCAAAGATAGTCTGAATTTTAAGCCTAAGAAAATGGAACAATTACACCACCAAGAGAAGTAGACAGCACAAAGTCAAGGTTGACTCAGGAAGAAGGTTATACAGAGTTGACTATCTGATGCTTAAACATTTCAATAGATTTCTTCCCTATTGCTTGCTTATTAGGTAATTCACTACTCATGCAAATCCAAAATGGGAGAAAGGATTTTCATGTAATTTGGGTTTGCTGCTTGTAAACAGCTCCATTAAAAAGTTTCAAAGTCAAGGTAACTTATGCTAGCTGCTGTGACAGGTAAACATCAATATTTCAGCAGCTTAACACAGCAATATTTATCACTTGCTTGTATCACAGTTCAATGTAGTTGGTGGGTCAGGGTGTGGAGGGAGTTGGAGATGTGAGTTGTGTTCTGTGCAGTTATTCAGAGACCCAGGCTCCTTCATGATATGGTTCTGACATCTATAACATGAGGCTTCAAAGACATTCTGCAGTCATCCACGAGGAGACCAGAGGGGAAATGTGTAGAATCTCACAAAGAAGATAACAGTGCTCTCACCTTTACTGGCATTCCATTAGCTGGAATTTAGTCCCACCCAATTTCAGGGATGGATGGGAGATGTTAATTTAACTCAATGCTCAGGAATAATACTTTAACACTGCCTCTGTCGCAAAAGGGAAGAAGATAAAGCCCTTACCTAAATAACTGAAGACTTAAAATTAACTTTGAAATAATTATTTTTTATTGTCCCTACTGTCAGTAGCCACAAATTATATAGCGCTAAAACCAAAAATAGTCATAGCAAGGAAAAACACTATAGAAAATGTCATAACCTGGAGTTTCAATCTGAAAAGTAACTTTCTCACAATCTTTCAAACTTAGCTTAAGCAAAACATTCAGAAACTCTGATATATAACTAGCATCCACTCATCTTGGCTTGCATAAGTAAAGTTACCAAGGTATGTGTGGGTTTAATTTAGAAAGCCTTGGATTAATGAAGTAGATAAGCTGCCTTAAGAAAAACAAAAACCAAAAAACTGAGTTCAGAATTCTCCACATCTGAGCCAATGCTTGTTATCTTTTCTTTTGTAGATAACAGCCATCCTAACAGGTGTGAGGTGATCCTTCACTGTGGTTTTGATCTGCATTTCCCTGATGATGAGTGTGGTTGAGCACCTGTGTGTGTGGCCATTCCTATGTCTTCTTTGCAGAAATGTCTGTTCAAACCCTTTGCCTATTTTTAAATCGGGTTATTTAGGTTTTTTGCTATTCAGTTTTTTGTTATTCCGTTACGTATCTTGTATATCAACCCCTTATCAGATAGACGGTTTGCAAATATTTTCTCCCATTTTGCCTAGATTGCCTTTTCACTCTGTTGATTGCTTCCCTGCTGTTCAGAAGTTTTTTAGTTTGTTGTAATCCCACTTGTCTATTTTGGGTTTTGTTGCCTGTAATTCTGGTGTCAATTCCAAGAAATCACTGCCAAGACCACTGTTAAGGAATTGTTGCCCAATGGCTATAAAGTTTCAGTTACGCAAGATGAACAAGTTCTAGAGGTCTGCTGCACCGCACACTGCCTGCAGTTCGTAATACAGTACAGTGCACTTTAAAATAGATTACGAGGGTAGATCTCACCTTAAGTGTAGTACCACACAAAAAAAGGAAACACAAAAGAATACAAGGAAATTTTTGGAGGTAATGAATATGCTTAGTACCTTGACTGTGATGATGGTATCATGGATATATGCAAATGTCCAAACTCATTAAAATGTATATCTTAAATATGTGCAACTTTTGTATATCAATTATACCTTAATAATTCTTTAAAAAAACCTGAGTATTGCCTAGTTATTGGTCTTTTTCTTTCTGAGTTCAGAGTAAACACAGTTTACATTAATACTATATTGTTTTTAAATATCGTGAATGAAAATAAAACTTTTCTAGCTATGATAAAAGAAATTCTGCTATGGAGAAATATCCGATATTAGTGCATAAGAAATGAACTCCTTCTTGAGGCTTGTGATAAATTGTAACTACCTACCTATTCCTTCCATACACAGCACAGTCTCCCGTATTATTACATATTCTCCCTGTGTTTCAACTATTTTAAATTGAAGCACTACTGCCTTTGTTCTTAATTCAAAGAAATTGAAAGGGTAAATAAATTCAATGTCCTGGCCAAAAAGGCAGTGTATCTATTTCAGGAACACACACACACACACACACACACACACACACACACACACACACTCCTCCTTTAAATAGGAATAAACCTGGATGCCTCAAGATTACTTGTTGTGATATCAAAGAATGTCCTCTGGGAACCAAGCTGTTTTCCTTAAAAACTTGAAAAGGGAAATTCAGTCTTTCACATCCTGCTCGCTTCCCGATTCCACAGGCTTCTGCATCTGAATCAATGTTGCCTGCAGTTTGCATCTCTGGAACATCATCGGTGTCTCACAGACTCCACTGGACTTGGATTGGTCCAGAGGAAGCAGAGAAGGAGCCACTCTGAACATTTTTTTCCCCTTCACACACCATAAAAATCAGCAGCAGCTACTAACAGTCAAAGCAAAGCTTCAGGTTGGGAACCGATACGTCCGAGAGGCAGCTGATGTGAGCATGTGCACACAGATCTGTCTCCCAATAGCACAGCAGCTACTAGGCAAATTATTTTGAAAAGACCTGAATGCATGCGACTCAAGTTAAAGTGGAAGTGAGAACAAAAAAGCAAACAGCAGACTCGACTGAATGAGCATCTTGAAGCCTAAGATTTCGAAATGATGCTGATCCGAGGCGTACCTGAAAGAGACTAAAAACTCCATTTCAAGCTTCGGAGCATGTGACATTTATTCACAACAGGCATGCCAGTTTCAGCCTTCTAACTTTCAGACACGTAAAGACGTGGAGAAGATCGCTGACGCTGCCTGACCCAGGAGGTTAAGTCAATCCAGAGGGGATCGGAATCCCCCTGGTACAGGATGAACTCTACCCATCACCATGGAATGCACACTTCTCTCCACTTCTGGAACCACAGCACCTACGGACTGCACAGCAATGCCAGTGAGTCCCTTGCAAAAGGCTACTCAGACGGAGGGTGCTACGAGCAACTTTTTGTCTCTCCTGAGGTGTTTGTGACTCTGGGTGTCATAAGCTTGTTGGAGAATATTCTGGTGATTGTGGCAATCGCCAAGAACAAGAATCTGCATTCACCCATGTACTTCTTCATCTGCAGCCTGGCTGTGGCTGATATGTTGGTGAGCGTTTCCAACGGGTCAGAAACCATCGTCATCACCCTATTAAACAGCACAGACACAGACGCACAAGGGTTCACCGTGAATATTGACAATGTCATTGACTCGGTGATCTGTAGCTCCTTGCTTGCATCCATTTGCAGCCTGCTTTCAATCGCTGTGGACAGGTATTTTACTATCTTTTATGCCCTCCGGTACCATAACATCATGACGGTTAAGCGGGTCGCGATCATCATAAGTTGTATCTGGGCAGCTTGCACAGTGTCGGGCATTTTGTTCATCATTTACTCAGATAGCAGCGCTGTGATCATCTGCCTCATCACCGTGTTCTTTACCATGCTGGCTCTCATGGCTTCTCTCTATGTCCACATGTTCCTCATGGCCAGGCTTCACATTAAGAGGATCGCCGTCCTCCCAGGCACTGGCGCCGTCCGCCAAGGTGCCAACATGAAGGGGGCGATTACCTTGACCATATTGATTGGGGTCTTTGTTGTCTGCTGGGCCCCCTTCTTCCTCCACTTAATATTCTACATCTCTTGTCCCCAGAATCCATACTGTGTGTGCTTCATGTCTCACTTTAACTTGTACCTCATCCTAATCATGTGTAATTCCATCATTGATCCTCTCATATACGCACTCCGGAGCCAAGAACTGAGAAAAACCTTCAAAGAGATCATCTGTTGCTATCCTCTAGGTGGCCTCTGTGATTTGTCTAGCAGATACTAAGTGGGGCCAGATGAGATGCTAAACACAAACATAAGAGACTTTCTCCTTCTCATACATACAACTTGAACAGTGTGTTTCTGCAACAGTTTCCTCTTCTGTGTAAGGCATGGGTTGAGAAATTCTATTGTATAATTTAAGTTTATGATTTTTGATGTGAAGAAGTGCCCAGTATCTGTGTATTGTTAATGTCATGCTACTTTTTGGCTGTAAAATGGTAATCCATATTACCGGTTGTAGGCACTGTGGATTTATAAAAAAGAAAAAAAGTCCTTATGAAGAGTTTAACAGTGTTTCTTTCTTGTTATTCACAAGGATCTGACACTGTGCTTGTTTTAGTAACATGGAAATCACAGCTTCGTTAAATATATTCTAATAAATGGTTTCTTATATTACACTACACAACATTGAAGTGTAGAGATCTGATTCTAGCATCTAGGGGAGAAATATTGAAGAACAGATGCTTAATCATTTTAAAAAAAGCTGAAATTTCAAGTAATATAATAAAACTTGCTCATTACGCTTGTACAGAAGTAGAAATGAAGCTTCTATTGGGAGAAAAACAGTTACTTTTAAAAAAGGAATATTTTTGACTCAGAAAACCATGAGTGTTCCTCAAAGACAGAGAGATTAATTTGCCCAAGAAAAGAGTCTGATAGTCCACACAGGCAATTCAGTTCGGGAGAGAAAAACTGCAGCTCTGGGGATTACAGTGGCCTGGGAAAATTAAGTTAACACGGCAAGCTAAACTTCCTGATACCAATCTATTTGCAACCACCACTAATAAAAACAGAGTATAAGGTCTTTCTGCCCCTGTAACCAGGGACCCAGCATCTGCTGAAATGTCCAGAAAAGGTGATGCTCCACTGAGATCTGGCTTCTACTCCCTAAAAAACTACACAATTCAGATTGAGTTCTTTCACTTTACACATGGAGGTGACTTGTTCACTTATTGCTTATTTTTTGAACTGGAGTTGAAATGCTCACACTCAAAGATTTTAGCTTTGAAAACTAAATCTATAGCATAAGTTTTTTCAGGTAATAGCTGTAAAAATCTAAAATAAGGCAACTTCCTGTGCTGGAACATTATGAATAGGGAAAAAGGTACTACCTGAACCCCGGAAGACATCATAACATAAATTAGCCTTCCACAACTATATTTTAGAGAGTAAATACTTGCTTTGCTCCAAAATAATCCCATGGATTTGGCTGCTGAAGAATAAAATCTGTACTTTCCAATCTGTGTGTACTTTAAGAGAGAAAATATATTAGGCTGAGAATTACCAGTAAATGATCCTTTGATTTAATTTATAGTCTCCTCAAATGCTCATGGGCAGGGATAACACGCAAAGGTACTGCCTAATTCAAATATAAGTGTTTTACATATTGACAGCAAGTCCTGAGAAACACTTTCAACATTTATGTGGAAACATTAAAGTACGTAATCAGTAAAATTAAAGCCTACACGTGAAAGGTGATAGTGAAGCCTGATTCACTGCAATGCCTCTATTCTGAAGTAAAAATAAGTGTGAGGATTTAAACACAGACTAAAATAATGGAACCAAAGTTGTAGCAGGACAGACGGTGTTTCTGTCCTTGCTATTATTCCTGCTCATTCTTTCACAGAGTGATTGTGAGGAATCCCAGAGATTGGAGACACAGAAGAGACCTAGGAGCATGCCCCATCTTCTGTGGTGGCTGTCCTTCCAGTCCATTCTATTTCTCTGTCCAGTGTCACTTCAGATGCTGCTTGGTCCATTTAGAACCAGCCCACTTCTCCCACTGAAAGGAAATCAGCCTCCTTCATCCTGACTTTCACACCTCCTCCCGGAGCAGTTTACAGGGATGGGGTGAGTGTTAGTCATGAACCTGTGTGCCCTGCCACCCTCCCCTATGTGCCCAGGGAACAATATTATGCTTCCGTTTCTTTAAGTGCTAAGGCTGTGTCTTACTCAGTTTTTCCTGTTCCCCAAATAGTCCTCTATTACGTTACTTCCTATTTCTCCAGTAAAACCAATATCCTCCCAGAGGGATACATCATTATCACTCGAAGTCCGTAGTTTACATTAGAGCTCATTCCTAGGTGTTGTACCTTCTGTGTGTTTTGGAGAATGTATAATGATGACAGGTATTATAGTATCACACAGAACAGTTTCACTGCCTGAAAAATCCTCTGTGCTCCACCTCTTTGTCCCTCTTTCCTTAACCCCTGGCAACCACTAACTCTTTTACTGTCTCCGCAGTTTTGCCTTTTCCAGAATGTCCTATAGTTGGAATCATACAGTATGTAACCTTCTCAGATTGGCTTCTTTCACTTGGTAATATGCATGTAAGATTCCTTCATGTATTTTTATGGCTTGGTAGCTCATTTCTTTATAGTACTGAATAATATTTCACTGTATGGATGTAACACAGTTTATTTATCCATTTGCCTACTGAAGAACATCTTGGTTGCTTCCAAATTTTGGCAATTGTAAATAAAGTTGCTATAAACATTTGTGTGTGGGCATAAGTTTTTAATTTATACCAAGGAGCAGGAATTAACCTCTAAACACTTTAGTGTAAATACTGTGATGTGTGTGTTTATCCTTTAATATTTTGTTAAGGGTGGTTAGTTAGCATTTACAGTATGCTGGTCAGGAGTAACAGTCCAAATGTACCTGATAAGCAGCATCAGATACCTTTATTGAAATTTTCACCAGAAAGTTCAATGAAATAAAAAATATATTTGAAATGATTTTTCATTGGTGAAATGAGTGATTTTCAAGACCTGTTGTTGACTTGGAAAGTTGTGTAACAAACGCCATAACTTGCATGAGCAAGGTTTGCATCTTGCATTTCTGTCCACTTGGCATCTGGCCCTACACTTAGACTCTAAGAGCAAATCTGCAAATAGCCCCCACCTGCTTCAGAAAAAAGCCTTTGTTGCCCAAACTAAATATCTTGAAATTACTAAAACATTTTTAAAGAATTATTTAATAACATGTACATAAATATCGACTTCTGTTTTATGTTACAAGGAATACACAAAACAGAATATTTAGTATGATACCAACTATCTAAAGAAAGTACCCCCAATCTACTTATGTACCTCCTACATATTACTTTCAATAACTCATGAACACAGTCATTATTCTTGGGTGACAGTAGTAACGAGCATGTTTATTTTCTCTATTGAGTGTGTTTCTATTATGTAAATTTGCTACAATGAACATATTATAATTTTTGTTGTTGTTGTTGTTGTTTTTTGCGGTACGCGGGCCTCTCACCGCTGTGGCCTCTCCCACTGCGGAGCACAGGCTTCCGGACGCGCAGGCTCAGCGGCCATGGCTCACGGGCCCAGCCACTCCGCGGCATGTGGGATCCTCCCGGACCGGGTCACGAACCCGTGTCCCCTGCATTAGCAGGCAGACTCTCAACCACTGCACCACCAGGGAAGCCCCCCTATGTTTATTATTTTAAGTATAAAGAAAGTTTGAACACTCCAAAATAATTCAAGGCAGTTTGTGGGTGGAACTGGGCAGGAAGACACACATTGTTTCAATGGCTTCAGTAATGTAATTCCTGTGTTGAATAATGGGTTTAATGTATACTTCATGCTTCAAGCTTCGAAATATATGACATATAATCTTTCGTATGTATTCAATATTACATGAACATTAAATGAATATAATGCATTTATTTTGTAATGTGCTTACTGAGAGGGAACGTGCAAAACTATATTTGCATAAAACAAATAAAGGAGTTCTAGCGCAATTTAATACTGCCACTTCAGGGGGAAAAAAAGAAGAGCTTTGATCTATGATAGTCATGGTTGAATTGGGTCCTGGGTTAATGAAATTAGTAAACAGAGTTTACAATTATTAACTGTGTTTTCACTGCCGAGACCCTGGAAGCCCCTCAAATAGAGCCAACTGGAAAATTTCAGCAACTTAATCAGTGAACAATTCAATGAAGTTTTATATGGGGCTCAGCTGCAAATGACACTATTATGATTTGATTTCTAAACCTAAAGTTCTAAACAGTGTGAGAAATTTCACTTTTAAATTCAAACCATCACTGAATAAAATTTAAAAGTGAAAATATAACAATAAATTTGGTCATAATTTCACTTGAGGGAAAAAAGCACTTATGCTAAAATTTTACCTGTGAGAAGTTTAACTCCTTAATTTAAAATGTATTTTATTTGTAATGTTGAAGTTTCAAAATGGCCCCATTAAAAACAATGCATGTGGGTTTTCTATAAATCTCACAATATCGTGGAGATTTCATTTGAGAACATGCTATATTCATATTTTTACTGAGTTCTTTCATTCAGGAAGAAAGCAAGAAGGTTTGAGAGTAATTCTTTTTGTGATTTTGCTTACACAGGATGATTTATGTAATGTTGAACATTGTGCTCTAGTTATAATTTGTACCTAGTAGCTATAGCTGTTAGCTACTTCCTGTCAATATCAAAAAGAAAATCTATACACTTTCATCTCTGCCCTACCTCTAATCTTCCTCTCTAAGCCATCACATCTCCATTTTCTACATCGATGTCTTGTTTTCACCTAAAACTCAATGTGGCTGAAACAAAAGGGTTCATTGACACAAATCTGACTTCTTGTTACTCTCTGTTTTCATCATTTCATTGTTCTCCTGGGAACAGAAACTCAAAAGTTCAGTCACATTGTGCTTTCACTCCAAAATGAAATGAAATAAGTGAGATTTTGAAAAAAGATCAGGGTGTGAGGCCTGACACAAATGGTTGGGCCTTTCTGTGTGTACAGTGGAGCAGGATGGGAAGAAAACTGACTTCTGAGGACTCATCATTCTTGTTGGGCAAAATAGGAAGACAAGGACATGACTGATTTATCTGGGTTTGGTGGGCTTTTTCTGAGAAACCTGCATAAAAACCAGGCTCAGAGAAGCCTGGGATATACATATAAATTTTTTTATCAATAATTGAAGTATAGTTGATTTACAACGTTGTGTTAGTTTCAGGTGTACAGCAAAGTGATTTAGTTCAGATTCTTTTCCGTTATAGGTTATTACAAGATATTGAATATACTTCCATGTGCCATACAGTAGGTCCCTGTTGTTTATCTATTTTATACATAGTAGTGTATACCTTTTAATGCCAAACTCCTAATTTATCCCTCTCTCCCCCTACTCTTTCCACTTTGGTAACCATAAATCTATTTTCTATGTCTTTGAGTCTATTTCTGTTTTATAAGTAAGTTCCTTTGTATCATTTTTTTAAGATTCCACATGTAAGTGATATCATATGATATTTCTCTTTGTCTGACTTACTTCTCTTAGTATGATAATCTCTAGGTCCATCCATGTTGCTGCAAATGGCATTATCTCATTCTTTTTTATGGCTGAATAGTACTCCATCGAAGGAAATACATATACATGGGATAGCTGTGAGCATGTACAGAGAGATAGTGGAAGACAAGAACATGAATGACCTCTCAGTATGTCTTGCAGCCTGCAATTCCTTCCTCCCATTGTCTCCTAACCTCATTCAGGTGGAGCCTTCCTCCTCAACACTTGCACTAAAACTGCTCTTGCTAACATGATGAAG